GCTGTGATGTTCTTGTGTGTGGTGGTCTCTTGTGAGGTGCCGAAAGAGGAGGAGACTGTTTAACTACCATTGCTGAAATCTGTGACAGTGCATGTTTCAGCATGGTCAGCCACAAGTGTTGTGGAATAGTGATGATTGCTCAACTACAGGAGTGTAGTGTGGTGGGTGTTGGTGAGCTGAGGTAACATATTAGTGTGAATAAAAAAATTAATATTTTTTTTTCGGCAGCCATGGGAGACAGAAGTGAATACAAATCTGTTATGGTCCCTCCTAACTACTTGAATGTGTTACATCCCTTAGGCCAAATATTTTGAAGTGTTTCTCAGAGCTAAGAAGAAAGTGAAACATGTGAGAGAAGAAAAACCTCTAGTTGAATCTGAAGAATACAGTGATTGGGAACAAGAAGATGCACAGATTATGACTTGGTTATGGAACAGCATGGAACCCAAGAGTAGTGTAAACTTTATGTTCTTAGACACAACAAAGGAGATTTTGGATCATGCAAAGAAACTTTACTCGGGGCAAGACAATACCACTAGTATATACCAACTCTATCAAGAGTACTTTAATCTGCAGCAAGGTAATCAGAGTCTTGAGGAGTACTATGCTAGTCTGAGGAATCTTAGGAATGAGCTGAATGTGTATCACCCTCTTACATCAGATGTCAAAATTCAGCAACAGCAGAGAGAACAACTTGATGTTACCAGATTTTTGGTGGGATTGAAATCTGAATATGAACTGGTGAGAGCCCAAATTCTGGGTGGATCTTTCCTCCCCTCTCTTGAAGAGGTGTTTGCCCGTCTTCGGAGGACTTCCATTGGACATCCGAAAAACCCTACCATATCAAACAGGTCTACTTTTGCAGTGACAAGGAGGGGGGGGGAGGTCATGGTGGTGGAGGTTTTGCTCATCAAAGTCAGCCAGGCCATGGTAGAAGAGGTGGACATATGTACAATCATGGTGGTGGGCATGTTGGAGGCCGAGATTCAGGGGGAGCTCGTGGTAGAGGACATAATAATGGTCCGAGGAGGTGTATGCATTGTGGTATGGATGGACACACTGTTAATTTTTGCTATGATCTGCATGGTCCACCTTCATCTTGGGTAAATCATGCAGTGGCTAGTGGTGGTATGGAACAAAGAAATCAATAGACAAGTCAGACACCTACATCTACAAATGCCTCTGGACAAGAGACGATGAGTATTTCACATACTGAATATGAGCGGTTAATCCAGGCAACTTCTCAACAGAGTATAGCTACACTTGCCCACTCGGGTATGGCTTGTCTGGCATCCAAACCCTCCCATTGGATCATTGATTTTGGAGCTTCCGATCATATGACTAGGACTCCAGGTGTGTTCTCTTCACTTTCTTCATTTTCTACTACCCATATTTGTCTTCAGTTCTATATGTTCCCAAATTTCCTTTTAACTTTATGTCTGTTAGTAAATTGACCAAGTCTCTTAATTGCTCTATCACCTTTTACCCTTCATCTTGTGTATTTTAGGATCTCAAGACGGGGATGAAGATTGGTGGAGGGCATGAAACCGGTGGACTATATTACCTTGATGGTGGTGGTGGTGGTTCATCAACTGCTTTTCAATCATTCATCTCCATTGGTGGTGGTTCATCTCTCTCCCCTCTCTAGTGGCATTGTAGACTTGGTTATCCGTCTCTTAAAGCTCTGAAGCAACTTGTTCCATCATTGAGTCATCTTTCTATTTTAGATTGTGAGTTGTGTCAGTATGGGAAACATCATCGGGTTTCCTTTAATCCTACAGTCAAGAGTCGTTTGTCGAGTCCTTTTTCTTTGGTCCATTCGGACATTTGGGGTTCAAATAAAGTAGTGTCACACAATGTATACAAATACTTTGTTATTTTTGTTGATGATTATTCAAGGATGACATGACTTTATCTTATGAAAGAAAGAAGTAAATTATTTTCTATTTTCCAAAAGTTTCATGCTGAAATCCGCACTCAATTTGGTGTCCATCTTAAAATTCTACGTTCAAATAATGGCCAAGAATATTTTTATACACCATTTCAGAAATATTTAAAACAACACGATATTATTCATCAAACCTCTTGCTCTTACACCCCTCAATAAAACGGGGTAGCTGAGAGGAAAAACCGCCATCTCTTAGAAAGCACTCGGTCCCTATTGCACCAAATGAATGTTCCCAAACGGTTCTGGAGTGATGTGCTTTCATCCTGCTTTCTTATTAACCAAATGCCTATGTCCATCCTTGATGGTCAGTCTCCCTTCTCGGTTTTGTTTCCTACATTGTCCCTTTTTCCTCTTACACCTCGGGTTTATGGATGTGTTTGCTTTGTTCATAACCTTGGCCTTGGACTAGAGAAGTTGGATGCACGATCTACAAAGTGCATTTTTCTTGGCTATTCTAGGACCCAAAAAGGGAACAAATGTTACAATCCCAGTTCTCGACGTTGTTTTGTGTGTCTCGGTGTAACCTTCTTTGAGTCGGTCCCTTTCTTTTTTGAGTCGGATGTCTCTTCTCCTTCCGCTTTCAACTCCTGTTCCAGACCCCATTCCTCTTGTTCCAGCTACGACTAAGTCTTCATCTCCGGTGCCACTTCCTCCTGCACAACCACCTACCCATCAAGTGTATACGCATCGACGTGCACTGGCCCCTCTAGCTTCTTCACTGTCGACGGATCCAACAGTAGTTTCCATAGCACCCTCACACCCAGTGTCTAATCTTGACCTTACCATTGCCCTACAGAAAGATAAACGCAGTTGTACCCTTCATCCTATCTCCAATTATGTTTCTGTTTCTCACCTCTCTCCTTCCCATCGACAGTTCATTTCATTGTTATCTTCTAGCTTTGCTCCTAAGGATGTCCAGGAAGCCCTTATCTCTCCAAGGTAGCATCAGGCAATGGAAGCATTTGTTAGTGGTATATGTGGATGATATTGTTATTACTGGTAGTGACAGGTTCGGGATTGACAGGTTGAAGATCTTTTTGCATGATAACTTTCAGACAAAGGATCTTGGTAAACTAAAATATTTCTTAGGGATAGAGGTTGCAAGGTCCAAACATGGTATTAATTTGTGCCAAAGGAAGTATGTCCTTGATCTACTGGAAGAGACAGGGTTGTTGAGTGCCAAACCAGCTGAAACACCTATGGAATTGAATGTTAAGTTGAGTAATGATACGGGTGAGGAGTTTGAAGATCCAAGAAGGTGCAAAAGGTTAGTGGGTAAACTGAACTACATAACTATCACTCGACCAGATATTTCATTTGCAATTGGTGTGGTGAGTCAATTTATGCAGAATCCTCAGATCCCTCATTGGGATGTAGTTCTAAGGATTAAGGTACTTGAAAGGTGCTCCGGGTCATGGTTTGCTATACAAGAGTGGAGGAAAACTTGAGATAGAAGGGTACACCGGTGCTGATTGGGCTGGTTCTATATCTGATAGGAGGTCGACTACAGGTTGTTGTACCTTTCTTGGGAGTAACTTAGTGACATGGAAGAGTAAGAAACAAACAGTGGTGGCAAGAAGCAGTGCAGAAGCTGAATACAGAGCCATGGCACATACAACCTATGAACTGGTGTGGTTGAAGAACCTTCTACAGGAGATGGGGTACTCAATTGGTAAACTGATGAAGCTTTATTGTGACAACCAAGCTGCCGCCCACATTTCCTCCAATCCAGTCTTTCATGAGAGAACCAAACATATAGAAGTTGATTGTCACTTTGTGAGAGAGAAGGTTCTTAGTGGAGTAATAAGTACAGCTTATGTTAGCACAGGAAGCCAATGGGCAGATTTATTCACCAAAGGGTTGAATTGGCCAAGAGTGGATTACATATGTAACAAGCTGGGACTATATGATATATACTCTCCAACTTGAGGGGGAGTGTTAGTGTTGACTAAATAAGGGTAGAATGGTCATTTGTATGTAAATTAGAAAGACTAATACACCCTAGTCGAATGAAGAGAACAGTTTTTTTCTCTTCAGTTCGAACCAGGTTTTCTCCCCTCATTCTTCCTCTTTCTTTCCTCTCTTTTCTCTTCTTCTTTCTTTTTCTTTTTCTTCCTTGATTAATCTGAAGGCTACCGGTTTACAGATCTGAACTTTATCAGTGCTTATCCTAGATTCTTATTTTACTAATTGTTTGTACAGTAGCCAATGAATTGGTAAAGGGTGCATGCATGGATTTTAGTTTGCAACAGAGTTCAACACAATCTGATCAATAAAATAATCAGAGAACTAAGGTTTTGATCCATATTAATGAATACCAAAAAAAAATCATCATGGATTACTATGATCTGATGAATCTATGATAGACAATATATTTACTTTCCTACTAATTGATTCCGCAATAGCCAGATAACCAGTTCAGTATGACAACAGGCATTGATAAACAAACAATAACCAAAAGTAGTGCCAACCTAATCAGTTAAAAGGATCAGACTGATGCATTTGCATCTGACATAATGGTTCAGTGATGTAGGATGGATAACAGGTTCTACAAATTTCATCATGTGAGAGGCAAAAAGGTGGCAGATGAGTTTTAAAAGAGAAAGGACAGAGAACTGCTAAAAACTTTAGGAAGGTAATAGCAAGGACTAAGAAGAGAATGAAAGGGTTAAACTAATCAAAAGGTGAAGTTTCATAATGTTTTATTATGGAGAAAAGCAGTTGTAGGTGCAACTTTTAGTATCAAAATGTTGAACCTGGAATAATAACACATATAGTGTAATTTGGAGAGGCCTAGAGTGCAACCTTTCACAGTACAACAATATAGAAACAAAGAAGAGAAGAAACAAGTGAAGTTCAGGACATTTGATAGTTCTATTATGGATAATAACTGCAGATAATTGATCAAATAATAAGAGTATCGGAAAATCTAATAGTTTAGTATCTAAGTATTTAAAACATTAGAATTCAGCTCCTGACATTTGTGGTAAGCGGAAAAGAAGGGAGGTAAAATTTTAAAATACCACATGGCAATAGATTCAAGTTGACATACCAGTACTAACTTGTTGTGCTACATTGTTCTCATGACTCTCATGAGAAGGTTCCTTAAATGAAATCCACAGCCACAGTAAATAAAATAGCCATGCCAGAGCCATCACCCAACCAGGTAAGGTATCCTCATTAAATGTGATTTTGTAAATCTTAAACCTAGTTTGGAGTAATCCAGCAAGAGCAGGACCACATGCCATCCCAAGAGCACTTGCACTAACAAAACCTGCTGAAGCCTGCATGCGTATTTTAACTGGTACACAATCACTGATATAACGGCGGTTAACAGCTCTTGCAGAGCCCAATCTGAAACATTGACAAAATTTATTTGTCAAACAATATAAATTGAACTTTTTTCAAAAGGTAAAGTATAATTTATTGAGAAGATGGTATACAAGGCATATACAAGAAAAGCAAAGGAAAAGCCTTTAGCCTAAGACAATGAATATAAATTGAGTTAAATATTAATTTATCAGAATACAAGAATAAATTTGATATAAATTACTGAAAATGGATATACTTGAAAGAATTTTGGCCCCTCTAACAACCCAAAACACCACTGTTAGAGACTGTTTTGAGGTGGAGGAACTTGGGCAGGCTGTATGGACTCCTCAACTCCGCCAATATGTTTTTGATTAGGAGCATTTCCTGATTAGAAAGTTTAAATCAATCTAGCATCCAAATGGAGTCTGCAGATTGTCACTTTTGTACAGCAAATATGTATGCCACTTTTCTGTTAAATCTTTCTATGACTGTTGAGCATCGAATCACCATTTTCGTTGGACATGGATTTGGGAGGATATGTCCCATGACTCCCATCTAAGGATTCTTTCTTTATATGGTCTGCACTTGACAAATTTACCCATCAATCACTCATGTCCAGACAGAGGACCAATGATAATGTTTGCAACCTAATATGGGGTTAGTAAGGAATACATACATAGAGATTACCAATTCTTTGTAGAGACAGTAAGATCTAGCCAAAGGGCTATTTTTGTACTTTTACTTCTCTTTATTGTACATCTGATTTCTTTGTACACTAAGTGCAGATTTTTCCTTTTACTTTCTTTAATATAAATATATTTCTTAGGGTGTCGACAGTCACTAAGATACACCCACCAAACTGTTGTTCTCTCTCTCTCTCTCTGTCCTTTTCGATCTGACTCTGACATTCTTATTTCTTCCTGACTTTTGTGTGTGAAGAACTATCCTTTGGAACCTCCATTCTATTGCTGAATGCTGGTGCATCCAGAAGGAGCCTAATGGTTGTCTGATTGATGGCAAAAAAACCACTTCACTGAATTATTGGTTGGTAGGACAGAAAGGACCTTTGTGCAGGCCATGCGATGGTCACTGATTTTGAAGGATTTCAAAGATTTCAAGCATGATCATTTCAGACATTTTTTGGAGGATATCCTGCCTTCGGCCAAGGATTAAAGTATCGGTATCGGGTATCGTATCGGACAACTTGGATACGGATACGCTTGGGAAACGCATGGATACAGACGAAAAATATGAAAATGCTTGGATACACTAAGGAAATGCATATAAATTCAATAATTATATTAATAACTTCAAGTTTAATATCAAAATAACTATAAATAACGTATAAATACATAAGAATTGTATATTGTAATGGTATATTTGAAGAAATATATTATTATTGATATAACGGAATGCATAGATATTATACAATTTTCTTGATAATGCATCAATTTTTATTTCTATTTGTTAAGATGTGCCGAATAGGGGTAGTTTAGTCTTCTTCTGTTTATTAAGTAACTTGCTTATGTGGCAGTGYTATTAGAGTTACTCTGCCCCACACTTAAGTAAGGGCATTTCTRTCTTTGTAAACATTATTAGAATCTAATATAGATTAAGGGGTCGACTGGATGGGTTAACCATCAGATTTTTGACTGACCCTTCTTCTTCTCTTCTTCTTCTTCTTCTCTTCTTGTTCGGACTACTGTAGCAGCAGTCGAAACACTATTAAAATCCAAGGCATAAAAAATATGCAACCATTATATTTGAATTATTATATCAATTCTTTTTATTTTACTATTTCAATTTTTAACATCAACAAAAAAGTCAACTAAAAATTATTTTGCAAATGTTTGGTAAATAATATTTTCACTTTTGTAAACAATAAATATATTTATATAAAATGTAAATGAAATTTTGAAGATGCATTTCATATGAAAATTCATAAATTTTAATTACAAAAATAATTATTCATTATTAACGTTTTTATTTTTATGAATTTTTTAAATAAAAAAATTAATAATTTTGAATATTATTCTTGTTAGTTTGTACACAGAGTTATTGAATATACTATTTGTTTAGATTAAATGTAATAATTAATTTAATAAAAGATAAGTTATTTCATCCATTATCACGAAGTGGAAGGTGGCTTGATGGTTAATACACTTGTGCACTTGGATGTTGCACGACTTGAGTTTCGAGGATTGAATCATGCTAAAAGCATTTTTTTCTCGTGAAGGCTATGAAGCACTTGTGTGATACGCAGGTTCGATACGTTTCTATATCGGTGCGTATCACCCGATATGCTGCGATACGCACCGATACAGTGGTGTATCGGACCGATACGCACGACTGATACTGTATGCGTATCTCATATCTTCCCTTAGCAATACCAATATGATACGCCCGATACGAGGCGTATCGTGTCGATATTTTAATCCTTGCCTTCGGCTATGACATATATATTTGTATGACTTTCATGTTTCTTGTTTCATTTACCATGGGTAGCTGATGGTGTAATCCTTCAGGTACCATATACATCATCGTTCATCAAATAACAAAAACCATGGATATACTTGATAATGATATGTGATTGATATCAGTTATTCATGATGACGAATTTCCACAGCCCATCAAATGATAATTTTATAGAAACCATAATGTGGTAAGTGATTATGGAGAAGAATATCTTAAATGCTTAGTCAGGTCATCTAATCTTATACTATCCTAGTTTGAGAATCTTAACCATATAATACAATGGAAATCTTAAACTCTATTTTGAAGGTTGAGATGGTTCCAAATTAATTCAATCACCTAGTAACCCCAGTTCCCCTATAGTGTGCAAATACAACCAATCCCAGAAATTGACAACTAAAGTTTCATATAGCATTGCAGGGAAAAAGTATTTATTGGGCTTACTAATTAAAACAAACCAGCACATTGAGACCACTATTTTAAAAAGAAAGTTGTTTTCAACAGAATAATGTTTAAAGCCAGAATAGTTTATTTTGAACATTATTTTAAGCCCACATTTGTTATTGTTTCATTTAATGAGAAATTATATGCTTACCCTTAAAATCTGTTACAAATCATTGTTCATGGAAATCCCTCCGATGCATAAAGATTTATACATTTAAGCATCCATGCTTTTAGAGAAACTATTGTTTTAAATAGTAAATTGTATTTGCTTCATTAAAGATCTTTATATGTATGTTATATGAATGGTAACTGATGATGCGCAATTTGGTCGGTCCTAGCTACCAGTTACCTCGCCTCTGATGGGATTGGAGGTGCCTGAAACAAGGAAGAAAACGGTGACTTCTAGGGAGGAACCCGGTTGGAACACTCCGAAGCTCAAGTTAGTGCTCTTGAGAAGGCAAGGGAAATGGAGAACTTCAAGACCAGAAAGCGCAAGAATCAAATACCTCCTTTGGGAGATGGGGGCCTTTTATAATCACCCTATACACTCACTCCCATATCCCTGCCAGATCGGGCATCATCACTTCCGCCAGATCGGGTGTCA